GAACAAACTAAATATTACAAATTATGTTATGCTAAGCAGCATAATGCCTTCCACAAGATTCTGTCATTAAGAACTCTGCCAAGAATTTGCAAACGCAAGGCCATGACTTCCTTTCTTAAGTCAAGTCATTTCGTGTTGGACTGTCTTTCTCTTCTTAACTGCCTGCAACATTTGCTAACATTATTGTCTTTTCCAGTGAATCTTGTATTTTTCTTAATATACCAAAAGCATGTTAGCCTCAGTTTAACCATTTTAGCTTCCAGTGAGAGTTCAGGGTTGCCCTGAACTAGTACCCATTTATTTATCTTTCTGGTGGTCCATGATAGCCATGAAGCTCTTCTCCAACTCTGCATTTGAAATTAATGGCTTTCCCCCTTTGTCAGCTTTGTTCATTGTTCTGCTTTCACATCTCTACATACAGTAGTAATGGGGAATACCATATTATATATAATCTTGGTCTTGATCTCCAGGAAGAGATACACTTGAGGAACGTTTCAACTCTCCTTCATTAAAGTTGCTGATGAACAACTTTAAGGCCAACTCAAAAACCATCCCAAACATGAGCATGCCATTCAGTTCACAAATGAGCTCATTTATATTTCTCAGATTAGACCGTTAATCTATTGTCCGTGGTTTGGTGTGGTTTTACTCTTGAAAGTTGATTCTGCCCAGATTTGCAGGATTCCCTTCCCCCATCCCACAGTGCAATCTATTCAACAGGGACCAAAAACCTTTTAGTTAGCATTTTTAGAAGGTAGTTTTTTTTCTTTTTTTGAGGAGGAGGATGGGGCATAGAACTACATTTCCCAGCTGTGTGAGCCTAAAACTGAATCCAAAATGTTGTGTTCATTTTCTGTTTAATTTACATACCACAACACTGTTTAGATAGTGGTTCCAAACCTTTCCAGAGTTGCAATCCCCTTTTATAATAGCCAAGTAACCTGCAGATCCCACCGCCACCTTTGTATAAAAAGGTGCTTTTAATAGAGTGAAGTCATCCCTTCTCAGAAAGTAGCTTCTTTTCCCCCCAAAGGGCCTGTTTCTCATACATATTGTTTCTCATACATACTTGTAAACACTAACTTTAATATCCTACTTTGAAAGGTCAAGGAAGGCATTATTTAACAAGGGCCACAACATTTACCACGATCCCCCAGAAAACATTTTGTGACCCCCAAGTTGAGAAACACTGAGATAACGTCTTACATCATGTTTTTATTCACTACAACACAGCAATAGAGCATAATTTAAAGAGCATGTTGAACAGCTTTTGCATCCCCAATCTAATACTCTTTCAAATGTTATGTAGTTAATTTTGGCCCATGAGGAAAGAAAGACTCATGGTCTCCAACAGAAGGAGATTCTGGCTATTGAACAGGACCTGCACTTGATCTTTGCCATTTTGCATTTCGGGTCAACCTCAAGAAATTTAACAAAGGATGCTTGTAGTTCATCACAAAAGCTGTGTGTCTTTGGAATGATAGCAATTGATTAGCAGCCCGGGGAAGAACTTCAGTGAAATCTTAGAGGACAGATGTGTACAAAGACCCAGTGAAAACTAGTCTAGTAGATGGAAATAACAGTCTGCTATGCGCTTGTGCTGTTCTGCCACAAGAGTTTGTCCTAACAACCCATTTTTAGGCTGTGACTGGACAAGGAGCCACCTTGGGTCCTTTTGGGGAGAAAAGCAGGATAGAAATATTTTTAAACAAACAAACTACAGTTAAATTGCTGTAGTTGTTCACATGGAATGTTTAATTATCCCATAAAATGTTCAGGGCAAGTCTTCATACTGCACCTGAAATTGCCACAATTCTCACTGGGATCACAGGTTACTTACCACCCTCATCTGTCATTGGCACTGCCGTCTTCCCATATCTTTTTGTAAAAAAATAAAAAATAAAATGGAAAGTGACAGGCTTACAACCTTTCAGCGGCTAATGTTGGCACCTTCTAAATTTTGGTTATAATCTCAGTTTCCCCATGCTTCTTGCAGCTCTGTACTATGGTGTTGCCGCTGTCTGCTTTGTTCTGCACACCAGCAGGGTTGCTGGGTGAACAGCATCCTGGCATCTGAGAATTCAAGACCCACACGTGAGACTTGAGGACATCTCTCTGTGATGGCACTGGGTATGTGTCCTGGAGATGCAATGATGAATTTAATAGCCAGTCAAGTAGGGTATAGAAATTCAATAAATAAATAAATACTATCTGAAGATTTGCAGGCTGAAAGCTACAACATCATGGGAAGAAGTGCAAGACTTAAAGGAGAAAGGAATTTCAGAGACAGGAATAAAAACTTGGATTTCCTGGGAGATCTTCGGTTGAACTGATGTCACAATCCATCCCAGGAGCAGATCAGAGTTGTTAGGTCAACTGTGTCTCGTTCTGTGAGATTTCCAGGCCAAAGCCTGGAACGCAGAGAGTCGATCATAAGACATGAGTCTCAAGGCCAACACCTGAGACCGGACAAGTAATTCAGGTATCACTATTAGCTTTTCCTGTTCTCTCAGAACTTGACGGGTGCTTCATCTCATCTCAGGTCCCATCAGCTAGGCCCAACCAACCACACTGTCATTGAAGTGCTCCTTTGCACATACAGCTTCCAACCAGAAGGAAAATAGCAAACCTAAATTATACACTGATCACCCACAACATTAAAATCACTGACAGGTGAAGTGAATAGCATTGACTATATCCTTACAATGGCAGGTGTCAAGGGGTGGGGCCTATTAGGCAGCAAGTCAACAGTCAGTTCCTAAAGCTAATTGATGGGTGTGGGGAGCGAAGGCTAGCCTGTCTGGTCCAAGCACACTGTAGCTCAAATTGCTGAAAAACCTAATGCTGGCCATGACAGAAAGGTGCCAGAACACACAGTGCATCACAGTTTGCTGCATATGGGGCTGCACAGCTGCAGACTGTTCAAAGTGCCCACAATGACCCCTCTCTACTGCTGAAAGTGCCTACAATGGGGACGTGAGCATCAGAACCAGACCATGGAGCAATGGAAGAAGGTTGCCTGGACTGAGGAATTACATTTTCTTCTAGATCAGCTGGACGGCCAGGCGTGTGTGCAGCATTTACCTGGGGAAGAGATGGCAGCAGGATTCACTGTGGGAAGAACACAGGCCAGTGGAGGCAGGTGTTACTGCTGGAAGGTTACTTTGATATATACCACCTACCTAGAGGTTGTTGCAGACCAAAGCGTGCTGCCCCTTCATAGCAATGGTATTCCATGATGACACTGGCCTCTTTCAGCAGGATAACGCGCCCTGCTACACTGCCAGAATTCTTCAGTTTGAGGAATATGACAAAGTGTTGCCTTTGGCCTCCAGATTCCCCAGATCCCAATCCGACTGAGCATCTATGGGATGTGCTGGAACACCAGATGTGATCCATGGAGGCCCCACCTCACAACTTGCAGGACTTAATATATAGTATCTATTGCTAATGCCTTGGTCCCAGATATAAAGTTCAGAGGTTTTGTGGAGTCCGTGCCTTGATGCATCAGAGCTGTTTTGGCAGCATGAGGGGGAGACCTGCATGATATTAGGCAGGTGATTTTAATGTTGTGGCTGATCAGTGTGTATGTACAGCAGTTCATTGGGATAACAGTTGGGAAACTGTATACACGGATACACTGGCATGCCAGTTAATGTAGCTCCTTATCTCATCACTTTGCTCTCTGAAGAACTGATTAGGGAATGTTTTTCTGTCAAAGTAGACCAGACACATTTTCCATGACAATCAATGTTTATTTTAGCACACATGCATTAATACATCCAAGAGGGATGTATCAGACATCGCCATTTTAATATAACAGCTTTAGTCGGGGAAGATATGAAACCGGGAGGTTTCCTAAGGTCCAGCGGGACTACTACAAGGGCTTCTTGCTTTAGGCTGGCTTTTGGGGATTGAAGCTTAAGTATTTAAGAGCTCAGAATAACAATGTGGTCTTACATGGTCATTTCTGAATATCAAGGTGGAGCCTCTAGCATTTACTCCATGATCCTGTAATCCTATACAAAATGGGAGAAATTCCCATTTTATGCAATGGGCTTTACTTTGGAGTAAATGTGCACAAAATTGTTCTGTAAATAAGCAAATAAGTAATCTCTACTTAAGAACTTAATCCGTATTGGAAGGTGGTTCTCAAGTGGAAAAGTTCTTATGTAGAATCTGCATTTCCCATAGGAATGCATTGAAAACCATTTAATCTGTATCTGCTGTTTTCCGTCCATAGAAACTAATGGGAAGCTGCTATTCCGCCTTCTACCACTAGAGGGGGATTTTTTTCTTTTTTTCCCCCTTAGGTCAGGGAACAGTGTTAAAAGCACTTCTGACGAAGCTAATTTTGAAGCAATGGACTGAAAACCAATTAATCTGTTCTGGCTGTTTTTTTTATGTAGAGGTGCGTTCGTACATTGAAGCATTAGTTCCCATAGGAACTAATGCAAAGCTGGTTAATACGTACTCTACCACTAGGGGGAGAACTTTTTTTTAACCTAAGATGACCTAAGGTTAAAAAAAGAGCAGGAAAGTTTTTTTTTTCCTGTTCTTATCTGGACTCCATGATGTTGTAATCCTATACAAAATTTTATATAATGGGCTTTACTTTGGAGTAAATGTGCACAGAATTGTTCTGTAAATAAGCAAATAGGTAGGCTGGCTAACATGGGAAGAACTCCCCAATCTGCACTTATATGCATGGAAGTCATATTGAAATCCGTATGCGTATGTGCTGGATATGGACAATATTAGAGGGGCCACTGAAAGCATGACTGTATTTAACCTGCCTAGGATTTCAGTTTGCTCTGCACAACAACTATGGCATGTGGTTGAATCAGAGTGTAATATGTTCCATTTAGTCAGAAGCGGCTTATAGCAACGCTAATAGGACTTTCAAGGTAAGTGAGACACTAAAGAAGTTGTTTTACAAGTGCTACCCTCTCAAAGTGAGTTTCTTTGTTTGAGCAAAGAAGTTGTTTTACAAGTGCTACCCCTCTCAAAGTGAGTTTCTTTGTTTGAGCGGTGTTCAAACAGAGGCCCTTGCTCCACTCTGGCGATCCCATTTGAACCCATACTAGGACAATAATGCATGGGCTCCTGGTCCCACTTCCCAGTGACTTCTTGCTCCACAGTAACCATCTTATTAACCCTGGGAGATAACCTCCTAGTGCAAACAAATCCCCCAATGGCTATTATTTAGAGAAAACTAGAGATGTTAAATACAGTTTAGTATTACACATTTTTTTTAAAGGCCCTGAGATAAATTATTCCTTGGCTTTCAGTCTGTAGAGAGGGCCTCAGTTTGGGAAGTGCTCTGTAGATAAAGAAAGAGCAAAAAGTGCTGTTTCTCCCCCAATATTGTTCTACTTGCATTTGTTCTACTGACAACTTCCACTAAAATGCAAAGGGCAAGAATTGCAAACGTTTTCCTAGCATGCAAGAAAACCTCCCCAAAGTGTTATCATGACACTTCAAGGGAAACATGGAGACAGTCATGCAACGGCAGCAGGATAATTCTAAGCTTGGCGTTGTTTTCATCTCAGTATCTTGTGATGAAATGAGTGAAGTCAAGTTTCGAGATCTCTTTTTCGTTCGAAAAATTTGTCCGGTCGATGCGTGAGCTAGGACTTCCGACACTGGTCAGCCAGGCCTTCCTGTGCAGAGAAAGTAAACACAGGTGGATTAGCCTGGTTCAAGATCAGAGGCATAACATGGATCCACGGATAGGCTAGCCTGTAATTGGCCTGATACACTGATCACCCTTTACTTTTACCCTGACTTTCTTAAAAGGACCCAAGGTGGCTTACATAATTAAAAAACAATATTTAAAGGTATACACCTACTCAAAGGGATCAAACAGATGTCACACTAAAAACCAGTAAACAAAAGCAACACCAGAAACACATTCAAAGCAGTAAGGCACAACAATCCATGAAAAAGCCTCATTCAGGCAGCCTGTGATTAACGGAAAGCTTGCCTGAAGAGAAAGGTCTTCATCTGCTTGTGGAAGGACAGCAAAGATGGGGCCAGCCTGGCCTCCTGTGGGAGGGAGTTCCAGAGTCTGGGAGCAGGGATAGAGAAGGCCCTTTCCTGTGTCCCCACCAAACACATGTGTGAGGATGGTGGGATTGAGAGAAAGGCTTCTCCTGATGATCTTAACGCTCAAGCAGGCTCCTAAAGGGAGATGAGGTCCTTGAGATAGCTTGGGCCCAAGCCATTTAGGGCTTTATAGTTAGAACCAACACCTTGAAATCTGCCTGGGAACGGATCAACAGCCAGTGAAACTGATGTAACAGGGGGTTATAATGATTCCTGTAACCAGTCCCTGTTAGCAATCTGCATCTCAGACCTGCTGAAGTTTCCTGACACTTTACAGAGATAATCCCACGTAGAGTGCAATGAAGGAACAGACCTTTCAGAAGCAGCAAAAACAGTTGAACTTCCACAGTCCTCCTCCAGGAAACTCCAGAGGCAGTGCCCTATTCTGCGTTGCTCATCCTAATCTTATAAGATGCTCCGTGAAATTCATGGTCCCAGGATGCTGGGAAAGCCACAATTAGATCTGGGGGGCACCTTATGACGCTGGCAAGCAACGGAGGCTTCTCTAATGGACGAAGTACCTCTACCTGTCTGTTTATCACAGGTGGTAGGTTAGAGCCTTCTCAACATTCCCTTCTTGCTGTTTATATGTAAATGCATACTCTAAGTACTCTAAGTACTACACCATGCAGGATCATGCAAATATCAAAACTTAGGGGGATTGTGTGGTGTACTGGAGGTCTGCGCGACCACCCTGAGTTGCGCCACTGAATGCATTAACTGCTAAAATAAGCTGTTGTGTTTTCACAGTGGACTGCAGTCAATGGGAGACCCACAGCTCCATTAGAGAAGAAACACATGTCTTCAACACATTGGCTTTCAAATCCAACCTGCATTTCAAAGGTTTAAAACTACAGGGCGGCAGTGACTTCTGACTGAGCCTCTAAAGCAGGTAGTATGGCCAACTTCATAATCATGCAGCTTCATAATGCGGTGCAATCTGTATCTTATTCAAATCAAAGGCAAAATCCCACTTATTTTTATGGAGCTGGATTGTAACCAGTGTGTATTTTATATAGTGGATTTTTCTGGATTTAATAAAATACAAAAAAATTGGAGCTAAAATAAATCAGGATGCTCATCTGAAATGCTTTGAAGGGACATGAACTCTCAAGCACCAGAAAGCCAACATGATTGAAATGCACATTATTAAGTTCAACAACAGGCACCAAAGCATTAGCCAGTGCCAGAATTCTGCAAAAGGAATTTTAATTAAATGCCTTTGGGTATACACAATACTATAGCATCACATGGGAGAATGATGCTCCCTTTTTCCTTCTCTGCTTCTGTTTGTTAGCTGCCTAGCAACAGTCAGTTATGCAATATGTATCTTATTTACTCCAGAGTAGTTCTATTAGCACTTGTCATACTTCAGATTGGTGATTGATGTTCTGATCATCCATACCATGAAAGCAACCTAGCAAACAGTGTCAAAATCAGGACTTGGAAGCAACATGTTCCAAGGAAGGATATTATGTATAACACACTGCTTTGGGGAGTAACAAGGACATAACAATGTAATCTTCATGAAGTAACATAACATAGTTCCTTAAGGGGGTATAACAACAACATTTCTGACACCGAGAGAGGCTCAGAAGGAAAAAACTAGAAACCGGGCCTTCTCGGCGGTGGCCCCTCGGCTGTGGAACGCCCTTCCAACAGAAATTCGGCTGGCACCCTCGCTGGGTGTTTTTCAAAGCGAGTTAAAAACTTGGCTATTTAAGCAGGCCTTCCCTCCAGTCAGCTAAGTCTTTTTATCTCTTCTTTTCTTATTCTATCCCATCTTGGTAACCCTTTCTTAAATAAATTGTCTTAATTAATATTGCAATTGTATTTTTATGATTATATATATATATTTAAATTGATTTATTTTATGTTGTAAGCCACCCCGAGTAGACATGGTCTAGAGGGGCGGAGTATAAATTTAATGATTTCTGTTTTGACATGCTAAGCATATTACCAACTGTACGGTAACGAAACAGATCAAAAGGAGATGTAGTTTATCCACACCAGCTAGGTCAGCAGTTTTATACTGTAGTCACCTGGATGGTCCAAGAGGGACTTTGGCTATATTTTAATTGTGCAAATGCAACTGTCTGAAGAGCAAGAAGCCACTCTGTCCATGCAGGTTCTCCACGTGAGCCAGGACACATACCACAAATGAGGTTCTAGTTGTTGTGGACAGCCTAAGCAGACACAACAGCCTCCTCCATGGAATACCCATGAAGCCACTGGCAATGGTGCGGCTAAACGCAGACACAACAGCCTCCTCCATGGAACACCCATGATAAATATCATGAAGCAGCCTTCAGACCGTTCAAATCAAGAAGACACGGATGAACCTCTGAAGAACAAATTGCAAGAATTTCAAAGAGACACAATGTAACAGCGATGGGAGATTTCAATTATCCTGATATCTGTTAAGAGGCAAATTCTGCCAAATATGGCCCTTCCAAGAAATTCTTGGGTTGTGTTGCTGATCGTTATCTCCTACAAGAAGTAGAGGAAGAAACTAGAAGATTATCTATCCTGGATTCTAACAAAAAAGGAATTATTTGGTGGACGAAGTAACAGTAAGGGAACTCTGGGAGAAAGGGACCATGTTCTACTTTAGTTCTTGATTTCAAAGGAAGCAAAAGTAGAATGTAGCTGTATTTTAGGAAACCAATTTTAATAAATTCAGGACAATGATATGTAAGGTCCGATGGCAGGAAATTCCTAACAAGGAATTGAGTCCAGGATGGGAAGGAGTTTCTTAAAAAGGAAATTCTAAAGGCACAACTACACACATTTCCAACAAGAAAAAAAAAAAGACAGGAAAAAGAAAAAAGACCAATGTGGCATCACAAAAAGCATAGAGAAGACTTGAAAACAAAAAAGGACACATATAGAAAGTAGAAGAAAAGCCACAAAGGAAGAGTACGGATAGTTAGCAAAGAATTGCACGGATGGTGTTAGGAAGGGAAAAACTGCAAATGAACTGAGATTAACAAGAAAAATCTTCAGGCATTGGCAAAACAAAGAAATAGAGAAAAGAAATCATGATTTAATTACTCAATGGAGATGGAAACGTGAGAACCGAAAGTAAAGGCAGCACTCAATCCTCCAAACAAATGTGAAATAAAAATGGAAGGCAACAGGATTACAACCTGAGATTGATAAACAAATAGCCATGGAATATCTCGTGGGGAAGTAAGTAAAGATAATACGGTATATCTTGACTTCAGCAAAGCCTTTGACAAAGTGCCCCATGATATTCTGCTTAGCAAGCTAACTAGGTGTGGGCTGGATAGATCAAGTGTCAGGTGGATACATAATTGGCTACGGAATCGTACTCAGAGGGTGATGATTAATGGGACCTTCTCTAACTGGGAGGAGACAACAAGTCGGGTACCCCAAGGCTTGGTCCTTGGCCCAGTGCTCTTATGACTTTGATGAAGGGGTGCATGGAATGTGTAACAATTTGGGGGTGACATATAATTAAGTGGAATAGCTAATAACTTGGAAGACAGAAACAAAATTGAAGATCTTGATAGGAGTGAGTTCTGGGCTGAAGACAACACAATGAAATTTAACAGGGATAATTGAAGAGTTCTACATCCAGGAGAAAAAAAACCCAAACCCATAGTTACAAGACGGGAGATATTTGGCTGAGCAATATTGCATGCAAGAAGGACCTTAAAATTGTCGTAGATCACAAGCTGCAATGTGGCTCCAAAAAAGGCAAACACTATTTTAAACTGCATTAACAGAAGTATTCAAGTATAGTCTCCAAATCCCATGAAGTACTGAGTTCCCCTCTATCTGGCACTGGTTAGACCTCATCTAGAGTACTGTGTCTAGTAGGATACCAACAAACTGCAACAAGTTCACAGGAGGGCAGGAAGGATGATCAGGGGGCTGGAAACCAAACCCTATCAAGAAAAACTGAAATAACTGGACATATTTAACCTGAGAAAACAAGACTAAGGGGAGATACAGTAGGATAGCACTTTTCAAATACTTGAAAGATATTCATACAGAGGAGGGGCAGGATCTGTTCTTGATCATTCCAGAGTGCCAGAGACATAATAATGGGCTCAAATTAAAGGAAACCAAATTTCAGCTAAGTATCAGGGGGAAATGTCTTAACTTACAGCTGTATAACAATGGAATCTATTACTTCAGGAGGTGATGAGCACTCCAACACTAGAGGCATTCAAAAGGAAATGAGACAACTACCGTATCTGTTATGAAGCAGGGGGACAGAATCACTAGGCCCCTTCTAGTTCCATGATCCTATGAAGTTAGGGTTGTTTGTTCACAAGCATATCAACACATTGTAAGGATTCTGGAGACAACTGTTTGGCAGCATCATTATAGCTAAGAATGCACAGGTTGGTCCCTCTTTGGATACTCTTACTATTTGCCCTTTCCTTTGTGACTCCACTTGCTGCACTTTTGAGACCCTAAGACTGAAGACAAGAGCTGAAACCTTCCTCTTCTTCCAGAGATGGGTTTCACATTAAGAGAGCCATGGCATGAAAGGAGTTGACAATCTCTCTCTCTCTTTCTC